CACATAATCACCTGGTGGATCTTAAGACACAGACTCTGATGCAGTAGGTTTGAAATGAGGCCTGAGATTCTGCATTTGTATTAAGCTTTTAGGTGGTATTGATGCTGCTGGTCCTTGAACCACACTTTGAGGAGCAAGGGTTTTGCAGAGGAATGGAACTGCTAGGTTGTAAGGGATGCATCTTCGATGTTACTAGATATTGACAAACTGCTCTCTGAAGTGTTTGCACCAGTCCACATGCCTATCAACAGTCACAACTCTCTACAACATTACGTCTTCAATAACTGTTGTCGGACTAATTTTTTGCCAATTTGATGGGCATGGAGTGGTATCTTGTTATATTAATTTGCCTTTCCTGAGTATTATTGAAGCTGGACCTCTTGAGTTCCTTCTTCTGTAATAATTCTCAACATAAACTAATATTTTGGACAAATAAAATGTCTTTATTCATGTTTCATTCTTTAAATGGTAGACTAGGAAATGCTCAATTCTCTTTCCCCCATGGACACTTGGATTTAACCATATATGGACCAATTGCCTCTGTGAAAAATCCAGAACCCAGTTAAGAGGTTCCTGTGCTCCAGGCAAGTGCAAAGTCAACTACATCATAGCATGGCGAGAAAATTCGTGGCTGTCTCTCTCCAGAGCCCCTCCTCCTGACAGTGTGGTGTGACTGTGGGGAAACACCCAATCCCCATCTTCTCCCTGGGAGGAAAGGAGTGGAATGTCCATCCAACAATCTGAATTTTAGGTAGATTGCCTAAGAGACGGATTTCTATTTTGCCTGAATCCAAACACAAGAAACAGGAGCCAGGTTGGGAACTTGGCCTCTGAGAACAAAAGTGATCAATGTGCACCAGAATCTGCAGTACCACAGACAGGCACTAGGTGACTCTCCAGTACCATGGCACACTCTGGCACCAGAGATGCCACACAGTATCACACAGACATCAGGGGGAGCTCCAGAATAGAAATAGGAAAATCCATTCAATTAGGGTATTCCACACAGGCCCAGAGAGGACCATCTCCAGAACAGGGTTGAGAGGTCTCCAGAATCTTCAGCAGGGCTGAATGGAGAATGTCTTCCCTGTATTTTGAAACAGGACTGCAAAGTTTGGGAGAGATGGCTGATTTTTCAAATGCCAAAAATTCCCATAGAAGATAAAAAGACATACAAAAAAATGAGAAACATGGCCCATTTAAAGGAACAAATTACATCTCCTGAAGCCTACCCTAAAGAAACAGACATATGAGTTACTAGACAAAGAATTAAAAATAATCATCATAAGGATGGTTAATGAATTAAAAGAGAGCACAGGCAACTAAACAAAATCAGGAAAACAATACATGACCAAAATGAGAATATCAACAAAGATAGAAACTATAAAGAACCAAACAGGAATTTTGGAAATGAAAAAAACCACAATAACTGAATGAAAGACTTCACTAGAGCGACTCAATATCAAATTTGACTAGGCAGAAGAAAGAGTCAGTGAACTCAGAGACAGGACTTTCAAGTTACTGAGGCAGAGGAGCAAAAAGAAAAACAATTGAAGAAAAATGGAGAGAGCTAAGGGGCTTACGGGACATCATCAAGCTGAACAACATATATATCACGGAAAAAGCAGGGGGAGCGGGAGGAGCAGAGAGACTGTTTGAAAAATAATGGCCCAAACCTACAAAATCTGAGAATAGAAATGGACATATAAATTCACAAAACTCCACAAACTTCAGTGAGGATACATCTATAATCCAGCAATCTCGCTTCTGAGTATATGTGGAAAAGAATTCAAAGCAGGATCCCAAAGAGAGATCGGCACACCCATGCTCATCACAGTATCGTTTACAGTAGCCCAGAGTGGAAGCAACTCAAATTCCATCAACAGGTGATGGATACTCTCATGGTGCACACATGCAACGGAATATTACACAACCTCAAAAAAGAAGGAAATCCTATTACATTCTATTGCATGGGTGAACTTCGAAGACATTGTAAGTGAGATATGCCAGTCACAAAAGGACAATTACCATAGGATTATACTCATATGCGGTATCTAAAATAGTCAAAACCATAGAAACAGAAAGTAGAAATGTGGATGCCGGGGGTTGCGGGGGAGAGGAAGAGAGAATTAATGTTTAGTGGGTATGGAGTTTCAGCGTGGCAAGATGAAATAACTCTAGAGATCTGTTACACAACAATGTGAATGTTGTGCACACTACTTAACTAGACACTTAAAAATGGTGACGGTAGATTTCATGTTATTTTCCACAATTAAAAAACACACAAATCTGAGCTATTAACTTTTAGCACCCCCCCCACCCCCCGCCCCATGAATATATACTTTCCCGCAAATTGGACAACATTGCTATAATATAACAGGCTTTTGCTCGTTGACTACGGGATAAAAACCTTTCCAAGCTTTTCCCTAATTCTTTTAGGTCATTTAGAAAAACTGTTAAATATTCCAATATACGAATCTGCTGCAATTAACCAATTTCCTGTTGTTGGACAAGAGACTGAATTATTTTACCCTTATGAATAATACTGTGTAACTAAATCTTGTTATTCCTTTGAAAGAGTTGGTTTTTTTTTTTTTTTTTTTTTTCTTTATTGATTTCAGAGAGAGGAAGG